AATTTGAAGAGGAAGGAGAGGAGGATGAGGCTTAAATCCCCTGGTATCAAAGGAACTTCTGTAAAGCAGGCATGTGCACTGAATGACTCTGATAGTGGTGGTGAAGCATGTTCTCTAGAAACTGTGTACCCAATTATCCCCTCAGCACTTGTAACTTTGACAGATTTCTCAATGTAACAGTTCTGAATCCCAGTTATTACAATGTTTTTGTCCTTTAATGTTAAGAGCACATAAAGGCATGTATTCTAGATCATGTTTTCTGTCTTTCTTAACACTACTTTTGGACACAGAACAGCTATGTGGCCCATGTGGCCAGAAGTAAATTTAAAGACATGTCAGAAATCTTGCAGCACAGTGGTGCGGTCTAATTCACTGAGGCTTACGTATTCTCAAAATGTATACTTCTCATGCAAATATCTTTCATGGGTTTTCTTACAGGATTCAAACCTACCTGTAACTTGAATGAAAATGGAAAGCCAACTAAAATGCCTAAACAAGGCAAGCACAAACATCTCTAACTTGTTTTACAGTTTTAGTCACTGTAGGAAATCTTCTACTTGTCTGTTGAAGTCCTCTGCAAAACGCAGGTGTAGATTATGCTTTCCTTCTGGCATCAGAAGCAACCTTAAAAGCGAAAAAATCAAACACTGAATATATTCTGTGAGTATAGATAATAAAAATATTTGTTGCCTTTTCCTTCCTCTTGGTTACCCAAGTACAAAACTGAAGTAACTCTTGTTTTAAATACTATCCCTATGTATGTCATTCAGGATGTGAGCCACAGCAACAGTTGAAGCATACTACTTGCCCCACTTTGGGGAAGATAAACTAAGCTTAAAACAAATTTTTGTGTCCTAGACTTAGTTTCTGGTGGTCTGCCAAGGTGATGACATTCTAAAATTCATGTGAGCAGGATGCATCTTTGAAAAGTATGTGAAATACCTGAGCTCTTTTGCCTGAGAACAGTGGTTGTGCTGGGCAGCAAACACACTGAAGAGATCACTACAGAAATGTAGATTTCTTCTCACCACCAAACTTAGTGTTTGAATTTTGTCTAATCTTTCTGCAAAATGACAATCCAAAACTAACACCATTGAGTCATCTATTAAAGTAAAAAGGGAAATCAGGACTTCTTCAGCTGTAACAAAAGCTTAAAAGTAGTATCTGTGAAGAAAGTTAAATCTTTGTAATACTGATGTGTGACAAGCCTGAAATGCTATTTGTTATTGCGTTCTGAGAAAAACTATACATCAAGTATGTACTTCTAACACTTTTTTCCTTTATATATGGTGGTGGGAAATCTTTAAATTATTTTATCCTACTACATACTAAGCAGTTTCAACAGGGCTAAAGCCATCTTGTTTGATATTTTATGTGCTGGGTTTGGCTGAGACAGAGTTAATTTTCTTCAGAGTAGCTAGGACAGGGCTGTGTTTTGGATTTGCGCTGAAAGCCGTGTTGATAATAGAGATATTTTTGTTATTGCTGAGCAGTGCTTACACAGTCAAGGGCTTTTCTGTTTCTCACACTACTGCACCAGCGAGGAGGTGGGGGGTACACAAGGAGTTGGGAGGGGACACTGCTGGGAGAGCTGACCCCAACTGACCAAAGGGATATTACAAACCACATGATGTCATGCTCAACATATAAGGGGCTGGGGGAAGAAAGAGGAAGGAGGGCAATGTTAAGAATGATGGTGTTTGTCTTCCCAAATAAGCATTACGTGTGATGGAGCTCTGCTTTCCTGCGGATGGCCGAACACCTGCCTGCTGGTGGGAAGTACTGAATGAATTCCTTGTTTTGCTTTGCTTGTGTGTGGCTTTTACTTTGCTTATTAAACTGTCTCTATCTCAACGCATGAGTTCTCTCACTTTCACTTTTCTGATTCTCTCCCCCATCTTGCTGTGGGTGGAGTAAGCAAGTGGCTGCATGGTGCTTAGTTGCCAGCTGGGGTTAAACCATGACACTTGGCTATGTTGCCTTCATGACATCTACGCCTCATTACAGCAAGGCAGATCTTTCTGCTTTTGATGGTGATAAGCACTGTTTTGGGGAAAAGAGCGATGGTGTGTGAACATGCCCAACTCTTCCAACACTTCTGTCTGAATTTTCAGTCTCTTTCTTCAAAGACCAAGCAGCAAACAGATGCACAAACCTATAGCACTGTGTATGCTATTAGCTACTGCTTTTAAGCCACTGTAATGCCAGCTAACTCAAATGCAGAATGATGGCATACTCCTTTCCCACAAGAGAAACAAGCAATGTATCTGCACTACAATCAGGAAAAGCTTTTTCTAATTTACTACTTCTGGAATTTTCAAATGAAGCAGATGGTGCCCTGAGATTTTTTCTTGTTTATAAAGTAATATTTCTGAGCATAGTTGTACTTTTTTTTTTTCTCATTCTGCTTCTCTCAAAAAACACTGAAAATTCACAGGATGGTTGGAAAAACAAAGTCTTTGAGGTGGTGGTTTACCTCAACAAGGCAGAGCAAATATCAGTATCCTATGATCTCTCTGTCCATAGCATCTAAGTTCACTGCTTTACTAAATGGGACAGAAACAAAGACTTCTTGCAGCAAAAGGAATGCAATGGCCATAACAGAACCAGAGAAGAAATTTTCTTGTTTCAATAAATATTAAGGAGTGATTCTGTGGGGAAAGAGGAAAAGCATCTTACTTAGTTTCTCTTGGAGGACTTTCGGAAGGAGCTTATAAAAATATTATATATTTTATAATGCAAGAGAGGTCCAGCTACAGTGTTTGCATTGTAACTTGCTAGGAAAGTTTAGAATAGCTCTGACAGAGACAACTTGTCCAAATTTTTTTTTTTAACACTGTGGGTTTGAACTACTTCATTTCTTCAACAATGATTTATAAATACTCCATCATATAACTTACTGAGAGCCTTTGATGTGCTTATGAATGTATTCTGCGTGAGCTTGTGGGACCAAAGGGTCTTTCTCACCATGAATTATAAATGTGGGACATTTGATATCTGGCAGCAGCTCTTGGCAGATATTACCTAGGGAGAAAATAAATGAAGGTCACACTTTGTTTTAAAATAGTATGAAAGACCAAAACTACTTCTGTAAAGGACTGTGAACTCCACTGGGTTCTAGCTATTGCCTCTCCTTGTGGATAGCACGCAATTAATCCACAGAACTATGTAATCAGCACTACAATTAACATTTCTTTCTCCCAAATGTTACTACACTGAAATTTGCTTCATTAATGGATACAAGCACAAACGGATAGAGCAAATGAAGCACTTCTGTCCCCCGTTTCCCTCAGGCTCTCTTTGACTGTTGAAAGCAAACTCCTGTCTCTCTGCTCGGCTTTGTTCTTTCCAGCCTTAGTGTCTTGCGGCCTTCATGTTAATACTGCATTTTGTTACATTGGTTGACAGGTTACAGGATTTGCTACTTTTATCAACAAGTTAACTTAGGTTGTACTCAACGCTTGTTCCACCTTCCAGACCCTTTGCAAACCATACTACAACTATTCAAAGGTTCATCTTACAGAACCTCAAGAATAATTTTATGCTTACTAGTCTTTAATCTCACTAGAAGTAATCTTAATGCTTTTCTTTGAAGACTCTTCTATTTTTTCCCTTTCTTTTTTCCTCATCCCTTAGCAACCTAGTTTCCAAACCCATTGCCTAACTTCCAATACTCTTGCAAGACATACTCCATGAGTTTTATGTTCCATTTATCTTTGAGCTAACTTTTTCCTATTTGTAGTTGTCTCCTTGCTTCTAGCAACAGCTGTACAATTAATGCTGATATACGCACACTTCTCTTCGCTCTAAAGTCATAGGCTGTTTCATAGAGTTTTTCCATTTGTTTGGTTATTTATGCAGGCTTAGTTTGCAGTTCCACCAGTTAAATATTTTCATTTAGAACATTTCACCCACAGTCCTCAAACACCTGCCCAAATGTTGACTGTTTTTCAGGATAACAAGTAAATTTAGGTTATTTACCTAAGGCCACAGTTGGCAGTCAAATGATTATTTCCTACTTTCCAGTCCTAAAACTGTTTTGTACTATAACCACTAGATTATATTTACTCCAAAAACACAGAACAGCAAGAAACAGCTTGAATTTTGCAGTTTTATGCAACTTACTCAGTTTCATTAAGTGCTGGCACCTTTTTAAAGTTCATTTCTTATGGCATTTCACACTAAAAGCTGTCCCATTTAGGGCAAATAGTCTGTTGCTTAAAAAGAGCTTGAGTTGAGTTTTTGACCAACAAAGGCTTTGCTGTCCTCCTTTTATCTCTGCTGGGTTTTATTAACCCCTTTTCTTGTATTTGCCATATCTGCACCTTTTGCATAGTGTGTCTTAACTTTAATTCCAAGGTGGCCTGCTTGTAGTCTAAGTCACCCTCCCCAAGCTAAGCCTGGGAAAAACCTGCAGTCTGATGGTTGTTCATCTTTTTTAGCAAATGTTAGGCTTCTCCCAATATCTGACCCAGTTACAGCATCTAGGTAATTCAGCTCCTTGTTACATGTCTCTAGGTGGCTTCTTTTTCACAGTGACACCTTCTCATAGTGTTTGAGGTGTGTGCAGGCAGTAAAAGGATGTCACAGCCAGAGTTTCATCAGTCTGAGCTCTGGACTTAAGAATAAACTAGTTTTAAGGAGATGCCTTCTAGAAAGGGTAAAATCTGATTATTATTTGTTACGTCACTCTACTGGGAGAAATTCTAGTACCATGTTGCTGATTCCGTGCAAAACTTTATGGAAAAAATATGAAATGAAGGAATGTTTTCCTTGTAGTACCTGCTGCCTGTTAATGTATGTCACCTCCTGTCTTTCATTATGAGAGGTACAGGAAAATGTGTATAAGAGAATTACAGACTCCTTATTTTGTATATTATGTATTTCTGCTTTAGGCAAATTAAAACCACTTTTCCTCCAAATTAAAACAAAACTGTAAGTTATTATTCATGGTATCCTTGTCTGCAAAAGTCTATGTAGAGTAACTGCAGAAATCTTCAGAAATAAACATTTAATAATTACATGGTCTAGTTTAACTATTCTTTTTGGATTTTTTTTTTAAACACCTAAGCTGTGTCAATAGTGCTTTTACAAATGTGTTTTGTTAATCCTGAGTTCTCAAAATCTGAACTTCCTTCTTTTTTAACTCATATGCTACTAGGTTTGAAATAGTGCCTTAGCTCCTGCTTGCAGAAATTGGAATGAACACATCTCACTGTTGGGATATCTTAACAATGTCATCAAGAGGTAATCCTTCAATGCTGAGAGAGAAGAGGAGAACAAAGCTTGAGCAGAATCCCTCCCATTCAGTCTGCTCAAAAGCAGTGATTTAATAATGTAGATTTGTGGTGGAACAAGAGGAGACAGTCATCAGCTAATGCTTCCCACAAATGTGTTTTCCTCCTGTACCTTGCTGGTTCTGTGAACCATCTACAAAGTAATTGCTTTATTCGTGAGTGTGAGTCAGATCCAGCTTTTAATGCCATATGCAGAGTCCTTCCTTTACTGGCTGCTAGGAGTACTGTTACACTTTTTTTATCGAGAACTGTCTGCTACTATAATTGCTTCAGTTTAACTTTGTAAAAGCCTTACCATCTGATTTTTCAGCAAAGCGAGATATTCCATCTACCCATTTCTCACATGTTTTTGCAAAGTACTTATGTCCATACATCTCCTCTAGTGGTTTCTTGACCTTTTCACTCCATTTTGAAACATCTCGGATGCCTACATAAAATAACATTGAAATAAGTTAAGTCCTTTCCAGCAACAAGGTATTACCCAGTACTGTCAACACCTAATATGAGTACGTTTTCAAACCAGACCACAGATGTATATTTCAAAGTTGAAACTGCACTGAATGGTTTTAAATAATTCATAGTATGGGAAGGATATAAAAAAAGCAGTTTTTACAATCTCTGCTAGAGTCTTTCTGAGCTGCAGAAGACCATCTTATTATGGTCACAAGGAACAACAGGAAAAAGAATAATAATCAAAGGACCCAGTCCTAAAACTTCTGATGTATCTTTTTGGAGGACTCGCAGAAGAAGAGCTCAAGGGGATACCTTATTTATAAAAAGGGAACTGTTTTATAACAGTGTGCCAGAGCTGGCAATTATTTTTTATATCCTTCAGCCTTTTGTTTTGGCTCATGGATGGAAGTTCTTCCATGGCTCCTACCAGTATTCAGAGGAAGGAAGTTCTTACTAAGGCATTCCAGCAGGCTGACATCATGGTACATTTGCCATAGTCTTACAGAAAAACAAGCAACTCTACTTAGTAGAGTCCTATGACTCATGGCAGGCTGGCTAAAGCTGTACAAATAATCTGACATTGTCATTACTTATCAGATTTACCTATTTTTCCCCTAAAATTTCCAGTACTGTTCACAAACCAGATATCCACAAGGGTGACTTTCACTAAACTATATTTCAGCTGTACAGCTTTCTGTCAATAAATCCCAAAACAATGTTGGCATAGCAGAGAACCTGAAAGAGACCTGAAAAGTACTGAATCATCAAAGACCAATATATGCCACTAGCAAAGCTTTTAATTGGTTTCAAATGGGAATTATGGGAAGAAAGGAGTGAGGTGTTAATTAACAAACAGAACCTGTCCAGTCAAATGAGCAAGATAGCAGTGACTGAAAGTGTTTTATAACAGCATCTGATTGGAAATGAGTTTGTTCACCCCAGGCTAGCTGTTACTGAACAGCCATTTCCCTTATAGAGTCTACTGTTATATCTTTGTGGCTGGCCTTAATTTAAAAAGGTGGTGGAGGGAGGAAGCCAATGTTGAAGATATACCAAACAAACACCTTTCTCTCCTACCAAATCCTCGCAGCTGAGATGCACTGATGGGCCAGTTGTAGAAGGCTTGTGATGCTACTCTCTGAGCTCCATCACCCAGAGAGAGATGTTGGAAGCACCAGTGCATGAAGAGGCCAAAGGTCAGTATTACTGTGGGTGCTCTATGTAAAGTAAGACTTCTTTTTTTTGGTTTTTTTTTAAACATTTTAGCCTGTTGGCTGATACTAACATGCATTTCATACTGATATAATAAAAACTTCATACATATAAAATCATGTAAAGAAATAAAACAGTACTCTTACAGAGCTAAAAAGCATTTTGCTTATTGAACTAAAAAAATACACTACTACCACTGCTACCAAAAGTGCTTTAGTATAGGTGAGATAAATACACATGTGCAATACATACGCTTGTAATTTAGCTGAAGTGAGACAGTCAGATTTCACAGCTGGTATAAACCAAACTCCAGTCACTTAAATGAAGTTATACTGGGTTACATTTACTGAGAGTCTGCATGGTTAACTCTTTAAATTTCTGATTTCAAAAGGAAATAAGTTTTTTTTTAATGAGTTCACTAGCAATTTTTGCTATTTTCCTTTAAAGTGACAAATGGCCAGGTTCTATTTCATGTGAGTGGAGTAAGGATCAGAAATCCCATATTTCTTTACTTTGCAAAGGTTTTGTAACCACAGTAATTAACTTAAAGGAATGCAAATTAGAAAGGCATCCTGGGACACTTACTTGAATGATTCATTTACTTCCTGAACACAAATGGTAAGTTATGAGCTTGTTTTTTTACTGTCTATGTATTATATAGGCCCTAGAGGCAAAACTTGTGTGCTAGCCCAGTGATTTTTCTGTGGACCTTGTCTTAAGGTTGCACAAAAAGTGAGAAAGGAAATCAAGCCTGGGATCAGTAGTAGTATTTGCAATTTATTTTTAGGAACTTGTTACAACAACAAAAATTTTACTTTCTGAAAACTACTGATAAGCTCTTAAGCTTTTCAGCAGCTGTTGGTAAGGACTTTTTTAAAGTTCCATTATATTATCCTTAGAGTAATTGTTAGGGACCTTCTTACTATGACTTTAATCTGTCCTTATACTTAGCAACTTGGTGAATTTTGTGTCCTGTTCTTTAGGTTTGTTGTGTCCTCAACTCTGTCTCCACTTAGCTGTTATATGACTAAGATCTTTAGGTCAAGAAGCAATGAAAAAAAATCTTTTAGGATACGATATTCAGTTTGTACATACCATGATAAATTCTCACATCCTCTTGAGTAACGCTGGCATTTGCTCCCCAGACAACCAACTTGTGGATAAGAGTTGGATATTTTGCAGCTGCGATGAGTGCTGTAATTCCACCATCACTCCACCCCAGCAAAGAAAACTTCTTAAATTTCAGTGCCTTGATTTGTACAAGAAAGTTAAATGCAAATCATCAGCTGGTTTTACAAGAAAATATCAAATATTTCTTGAAAACTAACAGTACAGATTTAGACGCAGTACTACATAGTTGAACTATAGTTAACTTTAGAAAGTGTAATTATCCTGCTATATGTAAAAATACTTAAGAAAAGATAAAATATTTAGAAGACAAATTATACTTGCCTTTCCATTTTTCTACAACTGTTTAATGAAACAGCAGTAGTCATATTAGATTCTTGCTGCATTTGAAAAAGCCCTCTTGAAATTAAGAAATGTTTATTTACAACAGACAGTAAAGACCTTTTCAGAGAGCCTGATGGTACCAAGAATCTGTGGATTCTCTTGGTATAAAGTTGGCAAAGGCTATCACAGTGTGGGATGATAGGTAAGAAAAAGGAAACTTGAAGACTTGAAAAATGGAACTCACTGATCTAATTTGTTTATCCTAGCTGATCTGAAAAAAAAAAATCTGCTCTGTAACAAAGAAAAAAATGTTTAAAGTATTTGCTATACAGGATTGTATCAAATTTTAGTGCCTAATTCACATTTTTCTGAAGCTTTTAAGTGTACATTTTAAATGTTACTTCATGGTGAATTGCAATTCAAAACATTAATAATGAAATTCCTCCTTCTCAAAAAGGAAGGCTCAGGGCAAAAAGTATGTCAACCAAGACCTTAATTCATTCTGACTTATACAATGCTTTCCACTAGAATTTGAAACTCTTTTTTTCCTGAGATACCACAATCTGTTACAGGGGGCTACTGGCAGGGACAGGAGAGAGGATTTTGTGTGTGTGATGTTCAGTGGGCAAAGAGTGGGGAAGGTAAAGGCACTGAGGAGCACATGCATCTCAAGGTTGTACAGGGACAATATTTAATGGTTAAGAGGTATATAGAAGCCTCAGTTTGTGAACACTCTAACAAACAAACAGAGGTTTCAAAGGGGGGTTTTTTGGTTTTGTTTTTTGTTTTTTTTTTTTTTTTTTTTTTTTTTTTAGAAATGACAGCCTTTTGGATATGATTAAGGAAGATAGTGTACTTTTGGAGGAAAAAGAGCAAGTTAGTTGAATGAGTTGTTTTGGTGCTTGGTGGTTTGTTGTTGGAAGTCCAGAAGCAAGCAAAAATGCAGGCAATGAAACAACTACACAGAGAAAAAGCAGTTTCTAGTCTGGAAGCTTACTCCTGCTTGTAAACTTGATGGTCAGGTGTGGCATAGCTTTATCAGCCAACTTGATAGCTAGTAAAAAGTTCTATTGCTTTCAGGCTTTTCTGGTTTTGGCTTCTTCCTTGGTATTAACCTTACTGTAGTGTTGCTTAATATTAGATTTCACTTGGCTAAGCCTGAAGAAAAAATAAGGTAAGGGAAAAGGGATGTGTAAGGTAAGAGCTGACAGCAAGAAAAGAGAACCTTGAGTTTTAGCAGCTGATCACAAGCTGGCCCTGGCCTGCTGAAAATGTAGTTACCTGTGACCAACATTCAGTATTGTGCTGCTGAAAGGTTACTGGTGTCTTGGCAAGTTTCAGGAATTGGCAGCAGTGCTTGTAAAGCTTACGTTTTTGCTGCTGCTGTTCCCCTACCACCAACAGCAAATTGTGGATCTCAAAGTCGGCTGATGGGTGGAATAGCTGATTAAAATTTTTGTTCTTCATGCCAGGTTATTTGGCAATGCATCAACTGAGACCTATTTGCCTCCAGTATTTCTCTTGTTTACTAGCCATTATCTTGATGCATTCTTTGGGTTGTCTCAGGATGCCTTTCCAGCAGGAGGAATTTAATTTATCCTTTGCAGCCTTCCAAACCCCAATGTGACGTAACAGATGTGTTGGATATGGTATGCATGTTTGCTTGCTTTAATCTTGAACTACTTACAGTACCGGCCTCTACCTAACGTTGGCAATAACCCGAGAGCTTGTTGCACAGCTCAGTTCTGTGAGTGATTTTGTGCTGGCTTTACCCTGTAAGTGAACAAAATCTCTTTTGAAATCAACTCCTCCATCCAGGCCTTTGTGAAATGCAATCAAATGATCACCTATGCTGTGACAGAAGTAACTTACAACAATGAGTTGCAATACAACAGTACTCTGTACTGTATGCTTTCATTGGATCACAGGGAGTACACCACAAGTAAGGGCTGAGCTGATCTACAAAAACCTGGAGAAGCCCAAGCCCATCCTTTCACCTGGACAGTAGCTCTGAAGAGCAAGAACCTCTTAAATATCATCACTGATTATTTCCATGATTGTTTTAACACTACTGGCCTTTGCTATTGTTAGACATTGGGATGGAGTGCAGCAAGGTGGACTTATTTGCATTATACTCCTTTGATTTGAAGAAAACTCCTTCACAGAATGCATACAGAGCAGTGTCATCTGCATCAAGGTGCTAAATGCTCTACAGAATTTCAGCTTTCGTTATTTGACAGAAGCCTTGCAGCACTCACAGCTCCAGCAGAGACACCAGAATCTGAAGGAGCCTAGAATAAAGGTTCTGAAGGCTCACCTATATGGATGGGTTTTCTGGCTGCGTGTAGGCAAACCATATACATCATAAAGCCCTCTGCAGGAGTTATACTGGAAATCCTAGTTGGGATGCCTCTTTGGGATTGTGCTATCCTGTATGTGTTATGCTAAAATAGAAGCAAGTTATCACGCTTGGAAAGATTTTCATAATTTGTTGTTATATGCTTCTATCAATAAACATCTTCCAAAAAAACCAGGATACTATGTCTCATTTGTTTTGGCAGCTTTAGAGACTGGTAGGCTGCTGTCCTGTTTGACTGGACACTGTGTGGCTACATTCTCTTTGGAGACACCTCTATTTTGCATTTACTAGTATTTGGGCAGAGGCAGGAAAGGGGGTTACAAGCACCTAGACTGAAAGTTTGTCACCTATCCATGGCAGCATCTTTATTTTCTTTGTTAGCGTAGCAGAAGAAATTTGTGATTTATGGGGCAGAGAGATTGCTTTTATGGTTAGAGGGCAAAACTGCGTCTTAATCCTGATTCTGCTGTCAGACTTATTTTGTTTCGCTATGCAGAATGCTCCAGGAAGGCTGTATTTCCAGTTTCAGATGGGTTTCTGCATGGTTACTGCTTATTACAGAAATGCAGTTGGATTGACTGTCTAACTCTTGTCTCATATTTTTGGAATTTTAATGCTCTGCCAACTTTCTTAACATGGCCAAAGACACTGTATAGCTTAACATAACAAAGCCAAAATATTAGTTAAAACTAAACCAGAAAATAGCATTAGCATTTATAGGATGGAATAAAAGAGGAACACAAACACAGATTTGAAATAAAAAATTCTGCAAGATGGAGAAGTAATAACAGCTTTAGGTCATTTTCTTTATAATCACAATAGCTATATTAGTTATTAAGATCTCATATGATCACAGGAACCCTTCAATTTACCACAAAAATTATTTCAGTAATATGCTGTAAAATACAAAGTGTCTAGTTAATTTTCAGAATCAAATATTTCTTGAAATGGGCTGCTCGAGGCAAAATGCCAAGATTCTATTAGCTAGAAAATTTTCTAAGAACTTTTCACTACTGTAATCCCTTCAGCTAAACTCCTTAGCATAGGCTTTGTTTTTTATATACGCTTTACCTAAACGTGGTTCTTGGCTGCAAACCTCTTAGGGCAGGGTCTTGGAATAAAACCATATTGCTTCATAATTAATTCCCACTGCTGAAACTCATGTATATTGCAGAAGAGATGGAAGAAGAAAATATTTTCCGGAATAGTGTACATCTGCCCAGTTTTAAGCCTTCACTTTTATGCTCTTTTGCATCACTTGCTGTCTGCTGGGAACAACCTGCTTAACAATACTCTTCCTCCTTCTCAAAATTTAAGGAAAACAGCTTTTAAATATATATATTTATTAAAAATAATAA